CATACGACCACAGTTCAAGGTTAGCGCACAAGAGTTGTACCTCCGTCTTCACGAAGTTGATAGGTATTGCTCGTTAAATCTTCATACTTCGCATATTCCAGTTCCAATATTTCTGCCATGCCAGATACAATGAGGATTTTGGCTATTCTCCAATGGCAATCTAGAAGGGCGGTGCTTGGGCGGGCTATTCTGTTAGTTTATCTCCATTGAATTCCACTGTATCAGGAAAGAATTGTCTGTATTTGTCTGCTAGACCCCAACACTTCTTTATCTCATAGATATTAGATCCCGATAATACACTATAACTTAGCAACCCGCAAAGCTTTAGTTTAGTTAGACTATCTTAAACTAGTGATTTCTGTTCTTATACTACGCCGGCTGAGCAATTCAATTATTTGAACAGTTCCAGCAGTTCAAGCTAGGGATAGAGTATAGAAGTAAGATTTATAGATAGGCAGAGATAGAAATTAGAATTAAGGAAGAGCGTAGATTAATTATAGGCGTACTACCATACAATACAGTAGTACTACAGGTGTATAAGAATACAATCACGTGTTACTTGAATGAGCGGCCAATCAGAATGCAGAAGCCTGGAAAAACACTCAGAAATTACAGAGCGGCTGGGCGCTTTGCAAATAATCCGCATTTAGCTTTGTCCAACACTAGGAAGTGTCAACATCGTCGGGCCTTCAATAATCCAGCATCCACCACGTTGCTGCGGGAATCAGTGGCGGGCGCGTTAAGTGGTTTGCTTCGCGTGACCACACCGGAACTTCCACAAGAGCTAAGAAAAGCTTTGATCTGACGCAAATGGAGCATTATCGGTCCATTACCATTGCAGTACCCAACAACACATTGTTGCAAAAGATATGAGGATCTCTCAGCCGCACTCAACCATCAAGTCCTCGGTCGCTCAAATGCAGTCAGTATTCGACTGCTGCTGCACAGTAAACAATCATACCCATTGATGATTTCATCCCACCCAGATGCCACCTCGTCGACCGGTGTCGCCGCTTACTCTGGAAACATGCTCTCCGCCGACATCCGATCTAGACAACAGTGGTCTTCTTGGCTCCGACGATGAACTGAATGACGAGGAACTTGATGCGCAACGTCAGAGGATTGAGAAACTTGCCGAGTCATATCTCCAGGGCAAACCCCTCTTCATTCTCTCCGCTTCTCTACGGGGGCGCTTCGATGAAGGCTGGGTAAACCCTTGGAAGACCAATAGAAAACGAACGATACCGCCTGACCACAAGACGATACGGCCGCCCAAAGAGCCCGAGATTCCAGCTAGCCCTGTGATACATGAAACCAACTCTCGGAGAAGAAGAACATACCAAGAGCCCCGGGAAAAACGCGATTCGAGGCCACCCACTGTCGCTCCAGATTCAGATGTCCGTTTTTCGGGTCACAGTAGAGATGCTTCTGCTCCCCTCGGTCGCTCGCGTGATAAACGAAAAAGGAAGTCAGTTTCTCCGAGCACGCCTCGGACGTCAATACCGTGGGCGAGGCCAGTTGATTCGAACGCACAGTTGCAGCTTTCCAGCACTTTGAGACACACAAATGAAGCTTGGTTAAAGAAAGACCGGAAACAAATTAGCTTTCAAAATGTTGACCCCCCCACATCACCAACAACAACATTGTCATCCCGCTACTCAACCAAGAGTCGCGCCTCTAAAGACGCTAGAAACAACAGCCAGACTACATCTTTTGAGCATCAAGACGGATCCTTTTCAGAACGTCGCACATCATTTTCCCCTGAACATGATGGCCCCGGTCCTGACCCTCTCGATGTCAGCCGGATCCCAAACAGCATCGCCTCTTCCCCTGCCAAGGAGCAGGACCTTCCCGGTCTTGGAATTGAAGCGGCCACATCCGGTGCCGTGAGTCAAGGCCCTTCATTTTGTGTCCTAGCGCCATCGTCGCATCTACCGCAATTTGAGTACCGTCGGAGGAAGCCCCGTGTCTCCAACGAAACAAGAAGCTCTAAATCCCCTATCGCCGGGGATATGGACGCTGAAGAAGCGCCACGCCCATCAGATTGCACAAAAGGTAACCAACCTGCAGAGAAAGAGGCATTATCTCCACAAGATATGTTTCTGGCTCATCCCAATGAACATAGCCGGTCTGAGGTCGACAAAGACCCTAAAGACCTTTTCATTTCTACTAGCACTACAAAAGCGATTGGCAATATATCTGTTTCTCAGTCGGCGAAGTTTCGATCTACAAGCACTGTGAATAAGGGGAACACTAGTGAGAGGTTACCGTCAGCTCAACAAGTGCGTGCAAACCCAACCATGACAGACATCACGTCCTTGCACTCGATTGCAGTACCAAGAAGCAACTCAGAGTATGACGGTGACACCATCCCCGATCCTCAATTCTCTACTCAGGCGGCTCTCCTTCACGCACAGAGGTCGTTCCAGAATGACCTCGACAGCCCGGAACATGATATAGCATCTCCAGAAAAGCAGCACACTCCTAATTCCTCCAACCTTTCTTCGCCTATAGCGAAGGATATTACTCCTTTCCATCGACTGTCCACTCCCAGTAGAGCTGGGGCAAGTAGTGGGGTCAAGGCACCTATGACTGCCGGCCAGTGGCAAAGCACCCAGTGCATGATTGATGCGGTTACGCCGTTTACCTTCAGTACAGAAAAGAAGCCAAACCGTCGGACTATGTCCCCAGTGAAGCACTTAACAGGTAGAAAGAAATTAAAAACTGCCAGCTTTAAGCTATCATCACCACCCTCGTCAGCTTCTAGTGAGGCACATTGCGAACAGGACAATAGTTACATACACTCAAGTCCTCTTCACCGTCGGTCTTCTGGGCATGAGACACAGCATAGCGTTCTCCCAATGACATTAACGGGGACAACACCACCCACCGCTCAGGAAGGGCAGCAGGGCTTTCCAGGTGCCGACAGCTTTAACCTTACTCAGGCGATCGCCGATGCAGGCAGCTGGCTGCAGCAGAGCTTCGACCTCAATAGGGATCTCAAACTCTGTGAAACTTCCAAGTCAGGTCCAGCTTCTTCGACTGGCACACGGCAATCTGCAATGGGCGCGGATGGTAAAAAGTGACAGACATCATATAGCCAGGCTTTTCAAGTGTTCATAAATCATATATCACATTTTCCCAGACGGAAAACACGACGGAGCTGGTCTTCCCTCGAGGCGGCAGTCCTCTGTGTCTCTATATTTGGCCTTGTTGTTTTCCAAGATTTCACCTGTGACGCATTTACGATTTGATATTTTGTAAATAGAGATATATACCCTCGCTAGCCACCAGTTCTTTCTTACAGTCGCATATTGTCAAATGCTCTAGACATACAATCTGATTATTCTAGTAGACTGTGCTCAGATTACCTATCTGCATAGCGATTGGAAACTATATTTCATGGCACAGTCCCTGCATACATGGTCTTCAAACCATATTAGGACAACCCTATTCTGTCTCCACGAACTAACAAGGCAATCGTCGAACCCTCACGGACTCTAAACTCTTCATACCCACAAGCCCTAAGGATCGCCGAAATCGCATATGAGTGGACCGTAAGAGAGATAACCGAACTAGAATCTTGCGCAAAAAGCTCCTCAAGAACTTTCTGCTTCCTGGCAACATGCTCCTCAACAGACTCCCACCGATCCGGGCTCCACAGAAGATCTTCTTCCGAAAACCCAGACTCAATTAAGTAAGAAGGATAATGGCCTTCAATCCACGTCCGTGTACTTCTCTTGTCGCACGTATGATCCGTTAATCGCTCCCTCAACAGCTCCTTTACTACAGGCTGAAACGGCTCTCCGGATTGCTCCATAGGTTGGGAGAACACGAGCCGCGTAGTCTCAAGACATCGCGCTAGAGGGCTCGTGTATAGCGACTCTGGAAGTGATACCTTCTCCGTAGTCACAGCATCTGTCCAGAATTGGCTCAGCGCTTCCGCTTGTTGGATGCCGGCTTCTGTTAGCTTTGCATCTACCCAAGAGACGGTACCGTCTCCGTCGAGGTGGGACCAGTAGTTCTGATTTTATTAGTGAGGTTGACTAGATAGGTGAAATAAAATGGGGAAGAGTGATCACATACATTCCATGCTTCTCTGCCGACCTTTGCTTCGAAAACATTGTGTATACCGAGGCCATGCCTGGTTAAATAGATGATCTTATAGGTCACGCTGTCTGGGCTTTCTGCATTTAGTTGGTTTATGTACGCTGCGAATCGTTCCCACGGCTTCTTGGGTTCATCGTCTGGCTGGGTATTGCTTGGTGCGCTATAGGGTTGGTCGATAAGACCGAGGCTCGGTTGGGTGGTTACTTTCGAGTCTGGGCTTTGCCTGGCGATTTCATGGTAATTTACGAAGAACTCGGGCATGAGCTTGAACTTGTAATGAGATACTGTTGCTCTTGGTTGCTCCATTCTTGTTATTTCAAATAAAGGGGGAGCTCGACAAGTTAAGTACAGCACGTCATAGAATACTTAGGCTTCGATATGCCACTGAAGTGTCTCCACTAGAGCAGAACGACACAGCCTGGGGCGAAGTAAACTTGCCGTTTTCGGTATGGTGGCGGATTTATGCACTTGGCAGGGCATTGCATCTTAGCTGGCATGTAGGTATATACATCTGTACGTATGTTGTTGAATATGGCTGCCCAAGTATTCACCATATTACCTCTTGAGAAAGGATATCTATAATGGCATACTCTGACAGACAAAAGAATCTGGAATAAAGGAATCTAAGACAAAAGAAACGAGGGACAAAGAAGTAGATAAATAGGATAATCTAGATAGGGTATTTAAGCAACAGATAGTCCCTAGATAGTTCAGCGAATTAGCCAACTTCTACCTCACATTTTCTACATATGTACATGATCACATACACGTCGAACAAGTACGTTTTATAATACTTAACCTTTAGCTATGAGCGGGAGACCTTCTTCACTTCCCAAAAACGGTATTCGTCTATTAAGCAGCAGTACAGTACCCTATCCATTTGTGTCGTCTCAACGAACGTGGATGGCAGCGTGGATCCCTTGGTGTAGCATATACTCAAATACCGGACCCAACTGCTGGTCTGCAACACTCCCGACCACAGTTATGGAGTGATGTTCCTTGGCTAACGCTCCCAAGGCCCATTTTTGTGCCTGAAAATATCGTGACTGCTCATGAGTCGGTGTTGCGTATGACGTTAAAATCTGTGGTACGCCGTGGCTATTGCATGCATAGAGGCTCTGTTCAATCAAGCCGTTGCCACATATTGTTCGATGCTCGCTGGTGGGCTGCCCAAACGGTTGCTGATAGATATCGAGCATCACAGGATTTTCTTGTAGAACGATGGAAGTATTGTATGTTGCATTTCCCATAATGATATGCTGTCCGAGCACAGCCGCTGCTTGGGGAATTTGAGGACGCCGAGGCACAGAGTTTTGCTGCCAGCAAATCGACATTGCACTGAGGCAGGACAGTCAGAAATAGTGGAATAAAAGGCCCTAAGAAAACCATTGCTTACCGGTTCCTGAGTTCTAATATTGGCCATCCTGCTAACTCTGTCTGGCCGTAACTTGATTGATGGCCATCATGAGCAACTACATCTAGTAGCTCGATATCCTGTGGGAGACTTGTAAGATGACGCCTGGCAGTTTAGCAATAGATTCGACTTACATCCGTCTCTTCCCGGCTTCTGCTGGCGACGATTGGATGGAGAATTTGCGCCCAGTGCTCCGAGCATTCTTTTGTCTCGTTATATGTGTGAGCATTCACTCTGTATATCTATGTGGGGAGGAGATACTCACGGTCAGGATTCCTTGTTTTGACTGAGACTGAAACCTCGTCCCATCTAACAAACAGTTAGTCTATATCCTTGATACAACGGAACAACGACGCCGATAACACTCACTCGGGTCCGTATATTGCAACAGCTTCCCTTAATCGCGTCTCTTCATCTGACGCCCAAGGCCCTTGCACCCAGCGACGGTCGATCTTGAACCATCTCTTGCGGCAATCTCTATTCGTCCTCCCTGGTAATGATTGTGCAACCAGCTTCCATGCGATGGTATCTTTTCTGGCTTTCTTCGGATCTGATGGAGGAGACTGGTCCTCCCCACGAATCGTGCAAGTGTGGACAGTCCTGAAGAGGATTCCATCTTCCTGAGCAGTCCACCATATAGGTGGACGTCTTCGACTAGAAGGTGGGTTTTTGCTTTTTCTCGCCATTGCTGGATCAGGCCGTCCTAGTTCTTCCTTGCAGCCCACGAAACTCACGATGGTTCTGACGAAAGATCAGGCTTCATGCCAATATTTATATGTGTGCAACCAAGATATACTAGGGAAAATGTTATAGTGCCATAAGTATGGGAACCTAATAGTGTGGCAACCTCCCAGGCAACACGTCAACGCCACCACGCTATAATCCGACACTGTATACACTCTCCGGTTACATGATCGAAATTCTAGAACTGATAGAAGAAACTACAAGAAGGTACCGCACCCCTGAAAGTCTCAGGTGGAATGCGTACTCTATTCGCCAATTCAATATGGCTCACGCAGATCCATAGGTATGGAACCGTCCAGAAGCCACTTCGCTTTAAGACAGGAGAGTCAGCTCCTTCGTTATTTCTGGCGATCATACATATCTGTTCATTTGTCAGTGTTTTCAGACACCACCCTCCCGCTACCACTTATCCTACCTAGTTTAGTCACCATGCAGCACACGTATTCCAGAAAGCTCCGCACTAACTTGGTTTCAGGAGCTGAGAAGAGGGCTGAACGTCTAATGTTAGAACACGAGCATGTTAAAAACATCATCAATTATGGCATATCACCTGCTCAAATTCTTTGTAATTTGCCGCTCGAAGAAGCCACACAGTGAGGCTAGCCCAACCATGTCCCTGGGTAGTCTCACCTTTGCTCGTATTCTTGAGACATCCCCTTCCACGGTTCTACATGGATGTCTGGCGTTGCCATGAGCTGAAATACCCAAAGTTTGTTGATTCTAGAACAAACAAGGACGTATCTTTTGGTCCTTAGAAGAAGCTAATACCGGATACATACATATTCTGAATCCTGGCAACATACACTCCTTCCTTAATAAGCATATCCTGTTCCACTTCCACCAGTGAAGCCCAAGCTACCTCGTCAAACCAGAGGGCTACTGATTAAATCTCAGGGGCTGTGGCGTGCCGAAGCAAAGCGAGATCACACCTTGCAGCTGAAGAAATTTCTGTAATTCTAAATAGCTGTAATTGGTAGTGTAGGAACATTGCCAGGGGAATTCAGCAAGTATTGAATTCTGTGACCAGCGACATTTTGTAAAGCAGATACCCGATCCCTTAAGCAACCACTTGTAGCAATTTGTATAGTGATAAGGGTATTCGGAAAACACATTCGAGGAAGATCAAATGGATTGTTGTAGACAACAGAAGGAATTTGTCCATCTTCCCAAAACCGTGACATTGGAGGGAATCTTGATGATCTCGTCAGTCGTCACTCATAGTATAAGCCTGGATTGTCAATCGCGGCGACTAGTTCATCGAGTCGTGCCAACCAGAATAGTCTTGACTGTAGTCCAAGAAATCTTGAACTTGTTCCAAGCTCAGGATCGATCCATTCTGCGATGTCGGCTGGCAGCGGACCAGGATAGCCGACCGCAAAGCTCCAAACGGGAGGAAAACCGGCAGCAACAAGCTCTCGGGGATCTCATTCGAGGCCTCCAAAGGAGAATTCCAGTTTATCTGTTGAGGGCATTTTGGACTTTGTTTTTGGTGGGGGGTGGGCTCGAGGGGATTTCGGATCAGTGATATGCTCAATGTCAGGCTTGGGGGAGTCATTCCGCCCTCATCATGTTCTTGGTTCTATTTCGCCATGATTTCTGGTAGACACCTGAACGAATCGAGGGATAATGGTGCAAAGTGGCTCAGTTCGTGGACTTGGTCCACCTAAGTTCATTGCAAAGATGCTGGGGCTTCTTGAACTTCGAAATTACATTCCTCGAATAGCCATCTACAACAGGAAGGCGCAATTCACTTAACAGTGAATAAATCAGAAAGGAGAATAGTGAGAAGGAATTGACGGTGTCTACTATGGGGTGCAATTGCCAATAATCTACCTGTATTCAGCAAGGTCATATTGGCCTATCTTAGTGATGAATGCTATTATCCGTAACTATACGGGCCGTAGTTCAAAAGTTCTACGGGAGGATACAATTCATTGCCTGAGGAGACCAAACTGCACCGTGCACCCCTATGGTCTCCCGTAGGAGCTATACCCCACTTGACAGCCACTCCATGAAGCTAGATTGGATTGATACCGACTAATCGATAAGTCATTCAGAGGTACCTCCAACCTCACTCGGTATCCTGTTTAAGATCGCACCACCCTGACTCTCGTGCTGTACTTTCGCCCCTTATACCACATTCTCCACGTTCAACATTTGTCCTCCAGCTTACCTACTATCATCTTGTTCGACTGGAATTTGTTGTGCGGGGTATACAGCCATGGCGGACCGACAGGCAGTCCAACAGAACCTCAATGGTCTGCTCTCGAAACTGGATGATCCAGATCCTGACATGAGGTACATGTCGCTGAACGATCTTCTGGGGATTCTCAACAGCCCCACCTCTGCATATTTGGCGCACGATCAGTTTTCCTCATCACGGCTGGCGGACGGCTTGCTCAATGCCTTGGATGATCAACATGGCGATGTTCAAAATCAAGCATTGAAATGGTTAGTCTATAGTACACGCCTTGCGTTTTGTACTTAGGTCGAATATATGGTTGACTATAATCATCAGTCTCGGTCCACTTGTAAATCGACTGCCTTCCGAAAGCCTCACTACCATCCTCGAAAAGCTCTCGAACCTGACAGCATCCCAGACCATCGATACCTCAGTTCCTAACACTGCTCTACGCGTCATTGTCACCGCCCTTCCCCGTCCTCAGTCTGGGCAACCACCTACTCCAGATGTTTCCATGGCTTACTCGTCTGTCTCCAAGATTCTCATTCCCCGCTTGACCGGTCCTACACCATCTCAGTCTGGCAGAAGAGGCTCCGTCATCAAGGGCATGCTAGAGAAAGATACTTCCAAGGGTTTTAGCAGCGATGCGATTGATGTTCTGATTCAGGTCGTCACCTGCTTCGGGCCACTCCTCAAAGAGGCCGAGTTGACGGCTCTCCAGAAATCAGTGATGTCGATCATCGACAACGACACAGCTGGTACCGTAGTTACGAAAAGAGCGCTGGCCGCTATTTCCGCCTTGGTACCTCATTTTTCAGAGGCTCAGTTCAGCTCGTTCGTCGACGAACTCGTCAAGAGGTTCAATAATCCACAAATGAGCGTCGTGCACCGAAGGCACCTCATTGCCACCGTCGGTAGCGTCGCAAGGAGCAGCCCGACCAAGTTCGGTCCCCATCTTCCGACGCTCGCTCCGTTTGTTTTTGCTACCGTTGGTGAAGTTATCGCGACTTAGAATACTAGATACAAAAAAGATTAATCAAGCTAGTTGAATGAATTTTTTCGGATACCCTCCGTCATTCGTCCATTTCATAGTCTAATAGGATAGCAACCATAGGGTAGCTTGTACCAATGCAGAAGAGATTTGAGCAATAGCACCAGTACCTTTTTATCATTCCCTTAGTATATAAGGTAATTAATCTATAATTACAAGACTGAGGGAATTAGATTGCTGCTACGAGTCAAGACAAGGAAAAATAATTGCACATTGGTGTGTGTTGTTGGGAGCCAGAATGCCAGCTATATATATGTCGCAACCAGGTTTCTGCTAGCCTTTAGCGTTTGCAATCAATCAGTGAAGACTTAAATTGAACTTACTGTCCAGTCACAAGCTTTCTTTTTTAAAAAGATTTTTACTCGTTATTCTTCATTATTTTCGGTTGTGCGCCTTTCCTATTCCATCCTTTCTTTATTTGGTGATAATTAGTTTGTTCTATGTATGAACTCAGGAGTCAGGGGAGCGCTCGTATGGCTTGTCATACCACTCATACGGTATGTATAACAAGAGATTGTAGTATGCCAATAATATATTATAAAATTAGGTATTGACTTTCGGCATTACTAGCCCAAAAGTGAGACATGGTTGAACAATCTTTCCCACACCTCGCGAGTGATAAAGTGGCTATGCGATGCAAATGGCGTGGAGTGTTTAGAAGTATCGTGGAAAAGGTTAGCTCTGTGGTCGCAACTTATACACGAACATGTGAAGGGCTCCAGAGCAGCTAATGTTCCGACTATCTGGTACGGTTGCTCCTCGCTCCTGCCATTATACCAGGGTCATACTGCGCCTTCCTTAGGGAGCAATGCTCGCAATGGGTGAGCACCCATGGACTATCTTCCATGTTGATTTCCGTCCTTCATCATCTCACCATTCACTCTTATCCCAAGCACTGCACCATATACAAACCCATCTCGTATTATCGTCTATATTATCAGATACATCTCACTTATCCTCAACTGATACCTCAAAAATGCACTTCAGTCGATTGATGGCCATCGCCAGCACCATAGCATGCTCAGCCGCGCGTGCTACCCTTCAGCCAAGCAGTACGCTCGAGGGTATTCATTCGATCACTGAGCTTGACGGGAATGATATCCCCCATGCTTTGGTGGAACGTAACCCGCAGGCCCGATGCGGCCGTGGCTTCGGCAAATGCTCCGATGATGGTTGCTGTTCGACTGCAGGTTGGTCTTTCACTTCCGCGCAAAGAAGGCTAGGTTGACAGGACCTAGGCTACTGCGGGAAAACAAAAGCCCACTGTCGCTCGCCTGATTGCCAGATCGATTACGGCCATTGCGATGCTCATATGACGCCTGACGGACCTCCAACGTCCGGTATCCCTCGACCCACAATTGGCAAGGTTCCATACGGTCCCAAAGCTGTCCGGTCATGCGTTGGGGCAGGAAATGTTGCCTTGACATTCGACGATGGCCCGAACAAGTACACAGAGGATCTCCTCGATTTGCTCGACAAGTACGATGCAAAGGTGACTTTCTTCATCACAGGCAACAATAACGCCAAAGGACCCATAGATACGCCAGGCATGCCCTGGGCCTCGATGATCGAACGCATGTATCAGAGTGGACACCAGATCGCCAGTCATACCTGGTCGCATCAGGATCTTAGCAAAATCACACCAGAACAACGCCGAATTCAGATTCTGTGGAATGAGGTCGCTCTCCGAAACATTTTGGGCGGTTTTCCAACGTACATGCGTCCTCCATATTCCAGTTGTACTGCGGAATCCGGCTGTCTGAAAGACATGGGTAATCTAGGGTACCATGTCATCCTGTATGACATTGATACCGAAGATTATAGCCATGACAGCCCCAATGCTATCCAGGGTTCCAAGGACATTTTCGACAAGAATCTGGCCCGTGGAAAGGCATCCGACAAGTCTTGGCTGGTTATCGCTCACGATGTGCACGAACAGACTGTTTATAACCTCACAGAGCATATGCTCAAGAAAGTCTCCAAAGACGGCTATAGTATGGTGACTGTTGGCGAGTGCTGGGTGATCCCGAGGAGAACTGGTATCGTATGGATGAGAGCTCTGAGCTTACTATCCTTCGGAAGGCCAAGCCCCTCGGTACTGCCAACCATGCCGTTTCGCGCGACGGTCGCTGCGGTGGGAATGTTACCTGTCTGGGGTCGAAGTTCGGATCGTGCTGTGGCAAGAATAACTATTGTGGGAATACTCCCAAGCATTGTGGGGTTGGCTGCCAGCTCAATGCTGGTCATTGTCAGAAAGCTAGACATACATCCTTTGTTCACAAACATAGACCTGAAAAGCGTCCCGCAACATCAGGGGCGAACTCTTTGCTGCAACCTGAATCGGAAGTTGCGGATTTGGTTTTGTTTGTAGCAATGGCATGGTTGATGGGATGCCTTGGCCTCTTATTTTGACCCTGGTTGTAACCTTGGGATGATGGCTATGAAGTGATTAATCTCTATACTGGCTTGTGAGCGTTTTCTTTTGTAATTAGTTAGGTTATTCTTCCACTAATGCTCCTGTTGTCCGGATACTGGTTAGGACTGACATGGTACGCTCGTTTATGAAGAATGCAGTTCGTAACTCATCTCATTTGACATTATCACTTCCCGTACCATCGCGGTGATTGTATCATATACACGTTAGGAAAATACACATATTAAGAAGACAGTATAGCCAGCCGGTCGACGAACTCAACTATGGGATTCGAATATAGTAAACAGGTGAAGGGTCTTCAAGAAGATGGCTAAACACGCGCTTTTTGGTAGGGATGATTACCGCCGAACAATCTTCAACAACGGAGCAATCCTGGCTCTACGACTCAATCCAACGCGATAGGGCACTTTCCCCGTGGAGATTGGACTGTGTTTGCCGGGGCCTTTGCTCGCACCGTTGCCTGAAGCATCTGTATCCGCCGCCCCGGGAGCCGTAGAGGGTGTTTTCGGCTCCGAACCAGACTTCTTGGGTGTTTCGGGCGGGTTCTTGTGTGTAGGCAACACGGGTGTCGATTCAGAATGAGTATTCTCCGAACCAGCCTGCAGATCGCACGATACATCAATGCTATCTGAACTATCGACGGTATTCTGGTCGACTGCCGTATTCGTAGTATTGTCGACCGTGACCGAGACAGTCTGTTGATCTTGTTCGACATGGGTATCCGACCATTTCCCTATCTTGTCTCTTGGTTCCTCCTCGATCACCGGATCGGAGGTTTTCTTCCGCTTGCGTCCGCGTTTCTTAGGTTGCGGAGCTGGCTCAGTTTGTCCTGTTGTATTATCTGGTGGGGTTTGTTCGCTATTAGTAGGGACTGTAGGGTGTGAAACTCCGCTGGTTAGAGGATGTTGTTCTTGCTGGAGAATGACGGGCTTTGGTGGAGCATCGTCGATCCATATTACGTCGTCTTCGATATCTGGGTCGTAGGTTTTCTGGAGGGTTACGGAGGTGGTTTTGCCGCGTTTTAGTTTCTTCTTTTTTGGTTCTTTTGGTGCTGGTTCCCGAGTTTGTAGGGTTTCCGTGGGTGCTTGTTGTGGTGGGGATTGTTGGTTGGGTATCTCGATGTGGAAGTTGGTGGTTCCTGCTGCGTGGTTTTGGGGTATATCGGCTGAAAGACTAGGGAGTTCTGGCTCATTTGGAGGAATTTGTGGTTCTGGTATTATGGTTGGGTGGGCGGATTGATCATCGATGTTCGAAACGTCATTGTGCTCTGCGTCAGGCTTTGGATTCTTGGGTGGCCGGCCTGGCTTGCGCTTCTCGGGTTTAGTATTATTTGCTTCGCTACTGCCCTGGTTCGCTGGACGTGGAAGGTCTGGAGTTTCAACAATTTCCGCTGGATTTTGCTTCTTTGGACGACCTCGTTTCTTTGGTTCTGTGGGTGTTTCAATAGTGACAGGATGAGGTAGCTGATTGGGGGACTCTGCATGTTGCTGTACTTCGTGGTGTGAAACTAGAACAACGTTTGAGACCGCATTGTCACTTTGCGAGCGAACGGCTTTGGGAGACAATAATGAAGAGTTCGGTTCGGTGTCGTGCGGTGAAGAGAGCATTCCTTGCATGGAGTTCCACCTCCGGGCACCATTTTGCAGGTCGATCTGCAAGGCGTCGTCGGGTCTCAAGAAGGATATTGGATCGGGATTAGAACTTCGGGAGGGTTGTAATGATGATTCGAAGAGATTGTATGACTCCGCGGACTGGGAGAAGTCATTGCTCAGGAGACTTTGAGGATGGTGTTGTTCCGTACGTGTGAGAGGTTCGTATTGGTGGGTGACTGTGTCGTTTGTTTGGTACATATATTCCCTCCCACCCCCGAGTCTATTGCATTCTAAATGCTGTGGACCATTGATGCCGATAGACGGGACGAGATGTATATCATCCATATGTGGTAAAGTGGGCTGTATCGGTTCCGATTCAAGGGTAGTATGTGGGGGAAGATGCCGATTGGCGTTTTGAGCATCATCATCGTCGAAGAGCCGTTGCTGCGCGAGACCAATCTGTGTCATCATTGACCCTATCACCATGTACGTAGTGAGTAAATGGTAGATAACTCAGTTTATCCCGCCAATGCAGAGTACTGGTAGCGCAATGCTCACCTATCGAACCGCCGCCCCCCGCTTCATTCGGGATCCATCTTTCTTCTCTCCGTTGCTGGGAGGACGATGGTCCATTTGGCGCTGTTTCCTGGGATTGAAGAAACACATCGAAGTTGATTGAGATTGGGTGGTTGGGCTCCTGTACTTGGGCTGTTATAGGGACATCTTGTGCGACTGAATTGAAGGCGTTATCGTTGTCAACTGGATGCGTCGGGTTGGCGGGGGGTGGGAAGTCCGCTGCCAACGGATCGTCCTCGTCGTCGGAGTCTTGGATCACCCGGCTGTGGGACATGGATCTAACTTATATGTAATAACGTGGAGAAAAGTAGGAGATAAACTAGACATTGGCTGCGCTTTGGCAAGGCAAATTCAATGGCTTATCACGCGTCGTGGCCGATTGGGTGCGGAACTGACGCGCGTGCACGTGATGATAAGATTATGTTCATTTGATGCCCATAATTTGACATCAAGACGTAAGCTTGGATTGGGTATGTCTGTAAACATAAAATTCTAAATACAAAAGGTATCATGATGCAAGCATTGAAGACACATCTTCATTCCATGGTGCTCTGCGGCCGCATTACCCCCCTTCCGAAGAACTCACTGATGACCCCAAAGCCATCCTTCGACCGTTGGAGCTCCCCTTTGAAAAGTTCATGTTGATCCGCTGACTCCACCTGTCTCTTGCGGATGGCTCTGATAGTGGAGTTCTGAGGGGCGCAGACTGGACACTCGGCTTCCTCATCGACCTTGTTCAGACACCGTTGGTGAAAAGAATGCTTGCAGAGAAAGTGAACCGTAGGAAGGTCCAAAATTCCACCGCAGGACTTAAGTGCACACCGGCGAGCTTGGAAAACGACTGGTTTGCTACCTAATTGTTCAAGCTCCTTCCTCTTGGTCTCCGTTTCTGTGCTATAGCTGGAAATCAAACGACGATTCTGCGAAGATTATTAGTTCACAGCATGATTATCTTGAGGGCGGGGCACTAACAGTCGATATCTCTTTCCGTTCTCGCTCGATGTTATCACTCAGATACTTCTTTACTCGGCCCATAGTGACCACTGCGTTGTTGCTGAGCGCTTGGATGACTTGGAGCGGCGACATGAGTCCCTCATCATTGATGTGTTTGAGAACAACATCTAACTCCTCGCCTGCCTCTTCAAGGATCTTCGGGCTTGAAGCAAAATAAGTCAAAGCATCAACATACAACTGGGGTTCTTGCGGGCCATATTTCTTCAACGCTTGGATAGCTCCGCGTGTATCCTTTGCAGACGTAAATGAGCGGAAAATATCAGAACGAAGACCTTCCTGCTCCCGCACCAGAGTCGATCCCTCTCGAAAGCCCGAAAGATCTGAGAGTAACAAGACGCTGGATGTGGAGATTGGGATCTAGAGAAACATTAGTCAAGCCAAGAATGGGCAAGCCGTGCATATCAGGTACATACATCCTTGCCCTCGATAAGTCTCTTGGCTTTAGTCTCCCATTCTTCCTTCTCGATCGTGGCTTTCTTACGAGATGCCGTATCCAGGTACATCTCGAATAGTGTCGTGTAAAGGTCCACCTTATCTTCTTCTTTCAGGCCGTCTTGCTTGATAAGCGCCTCTAGGAATGTAATAAACTCTTGAGGATGGCCCACAAAAGCAGAGAAGGCAGTTCGGGGCTTGGGGATCTGGTAAACCGGAGTATCATCTTCTGCCTTGTCCTCTACTTCGGGCGAAGGCTCGGTGGCTGTCGTCTTGGTGCCTGCACTAGAGTTCATCAAAGGGAGAGGAAGGAAAGCGGCCAGGCTTTGTAGTGTGCTAGTAGACTGCGCCTGTGGCTCGGGTGGATTCTGAACTTCCGTGATGGGTTTGTACTTTCCCTTGTAGTATTCAATAAAAAGCTCGGTCGTTCTCTGTGGGCAATTGGAGAGGAGAACACGAGCATACTTCATAAGGTTATAGTAGGCCTTGAATTAATTAGTATCATGCTGTGGAACAATGCTAATTATTAGTACGAACCAGTTCAGGATCAAGTCTCCAGATATATTCCACAGCCTCTGCATACTTCTTTGAGTCTTCAATTAGTATGTCAACAACCATGTCGTTTTCGCCGTACTTTGTAGCCAGGTAAGCGGCTTGCTCATAGTAGCCGCCCTGACGGCACATGGCAATAGCGGTTTCCAAGTCGAACTTTAATTCTCCGGGAGCTTTTATAAACTCGTCTAATTTGCCTGTGTCCTTGAGCTTAGCGTAGCAGTTCAAGAGTAATGTGGTGTGGTCGACTGTGGCACGATCATGGTCGTGTAACTCTTCAAGGTACTCGATTAGATTGTGGATACGCTGCGTATCCAGATACTATATTCATATACAATTAGTTATGAGTGTGCAATGTGTACATGGTGTTCCAACCTTTCGAATGACCTGTGATGGCTCTGTGTTGTCAATGGCGCGGAGGTATTGCTGCATGGCTGTGTCATAGTCACCCCTCTGGTACAAGAAGTCGCCGTATTTACGGTAGATGGCATTCTGCTGCAAAGTGTCGACACCTTTCTTCTGTGCCAAATTAATAGCTAATATGTAGAGACTGCGCTGGTAGAGAATCTCAAGTTTTTGTTGCAAGCTCTTCTCACGATAGCGGTAGATCTTCATCAGGTTAGCATAGCCAAAATATTACGAAATAAACCCGCATACCTTCCCGTCAGTAGTGAGAATGAACAGATCGCCCCACTCAATGAATACTTGTTTTACAGGGGACACGAGGGCCTCCGAGTGTGCAATGAACTTCAGATCCGTATCCAGCAACGTAAAGGTGGTTGTGCTGAAGATATCATTAGGCTGACTGACATCGAAGTTTCGCAAAGTACCCGAGTTCGAAGTTGCGACCTTTGGAGGACAAACCAGTGCGACATAATCCTTGAAGATGTTGATAGAATTCTTAGGACTGTCGAAGGCGTAGCTAGGCCCGCGCCCATGCGGCCCATAGGTATAAATGGCATCCTCTCTGGCCACAAGAACGTCACCGTTGTCTTTGTCCAAAGCCATACAGCCGAGAGCGCAGCCCGTGTCTTCGAGAACTCGGGCTGGTTGGCCCTGTCCTCTACCAGCAATAACCAACGCTAATATTCGGTTCGTTGTAGAGATATAAAGGATAGTTGTCGGGCCATTGTGTATTTCCAGTCCAGTTATCGGTTCTTCTGATTCGAATACAATACGTTGCCGTGCGCCGCGATCGTGAATCAAGTCGCCACGAATAATCGCCACGGAACCATTGGCAAAGCCCACGGCGACCTGCGACAGGTCGGGTACGGCCGTAAACGCAGATATCTGCCCATTCAATACTTAGCAAGAGTTCAGGCGCCACCGAGGGCATAATGACGTACTGGGAATGGTCTTCTAGCATTCTGCACCGGGGTCGTTGATAGGCACTTAGGGGCTCCCGTTTTCTTCTCCGTCTTGTCCAGAGCCCAAACCTTCAAAGCTGGTTCATTTGGGGCATCATCTGCGATCGTAACCAGGAGTGATGTTCCGTCTATCTGTTTGATATGTGTTATGGGGCCGCCCTCGGATGCCTTGAACGATCGGATGAGCTTGAAGGAAGGCGAGATGAGGTGGACAAAGCCATCGGTGGATCCAAGGAAGAGATTCGATGAGCCAGTACAAAGCGAGGAAATATCGGACTAATTCCGAGGATATATTCTTAGTATGTCGCAATATCGGTCAGTTGATGTCAAGTACGTACATTGAATATTGATGAGCTCTCTTCAGGTAGCTTGACGGATGAGACGTCGAAGAAGTTGAAGGCTTTCCACTGTGACAGGGCGTGTTAGCAAGTACACTTGCCACAGATAGCGATCGAAGCCTTACTGATGTTAGAGCCATTTGTACGTGGCCCACACCATGGACCGATAACAATAAGTTGGAGAAGGTTAGATTGACGGAATACGTCGTTCAGGTCCGGAGGTGTATCATTGCCTAGGCCGAAACGGGACAGCTCCGCCCGCACTAGTTTTATCAGATCAGAAGACAACAACCATAACAGATACATGTATAGGTCCATTAGACTTCCCTATTCGTCCTTACATATCAGTTGTGAATATTGAGAAGTGGAAAGCATTAAGTTTGATATTTCACGGTTCATCTATTTTATTCATCTACAGACCAGTGAGATGAAGTAGCCCATTGTGTCATGTCTGAGGAGGGCCCTGGCAGCTGTACCACGGGAAACTGGCAATCTCCTGCTCCTTGACCTCGGATAGTAATAGAGATACCAAAACATGTTGAATTGGTGATATTTAGTCAGTGGAAAGAAAATAGAAGAACAAAACAGTATTCAACATTGCAATTTCCTGTTGTCTGAGTAGGTGTCTTCTCCACAATGAGGAGCATTACATCACTTGAGCCCACGCCGGCAGGAGTCGCTCCGAAGCTGGTTGTTTAGTAGTGACAAGGGCATGTCATCATCCGATCACCTCCAACCTCCTCTTTCTCCTTGCATTCTTTCTCTTCCTTCTATTCATCTTACCTCAATTGCTTCATTTCCGCATAATAAACCCTTTACCACCAATCCTCATTATCCTGAATCAATTAAAAATGGTGTTCGCTCGTGCTCATGTCCTTCGCGCTTCTGCTCGTGCTGTTGGAGCCGCATCTCGTAGACCGGCGCAGCAATTCGCTCGTCGCACATACGCTTCTGAATCATCACACGGTGTCCAGAAATCCAGTGACCTGCCATGGTAAGTCGTGATAACAACCCTCCTTCCTCCTCGCAACACACGCGATGCATCGCATCAGGTTGCAATGAAAATGCTAACCCCAATTGACTACAGGTTGCTGGGATCGGTGGGCTTAGGCGTGCCGGCTGCCTATTACTTGCTCTCCTCTGGCCCTGAAAAGAAGCCACATGGCGACCACGGAGACCACGGAGACCACCATGAAGCTGTGAAAGAGACGGAGAAGGAGGAGGAACAGGCCCCTGCGGGAGAATCCGAGCCTCAGCCCGATCGGGATGCGGAGCAGAAGGTCGAGGCCGGGAGTTCTTCGTCTTCAGCCGGCGAGAAGGGTGGATCATTTGGAGAGCCCCCATCTAATGTTGACGAGGTAAGGCCTATCCTGTTTTCCATGCGCTTCATAAGTATCGGGCTCGGGATTATGGTTAATGTGGTTGGTCTGACTATTTTCGTGATAGGCTTCGGCGCGCGGGGGAACTGGGGGACCAGCCACTATATCCGGGAAGCAGGAGGGCCTCTCCAATACCGACACCTCCAACCCGTATGCGAATGAGCCGGGAAAGAGCCAGAAAGGAGAGGGAGAAACCGAGACGGCTAAGGTGAAGGGCACTGTGGATCCGGAACGACCCCAGGCCTAGAAAATGGCACGCTTTTCCCCTGTGCATTTGTACGAGCGGCGTTCCGATAGTTGCTTCGGCATCTTGTGAATGTAATACGGCACTGATCCAACTTCATGTGGATTTCCTGCCCTTAATAAGACACCTTGTATCTATAACCACACGATAGCTTGCTAGCCAATGTGGCCGAGATGTTAATGATGGACCGTTCTCTTGAGCTTGTAATCAGCTACTGAGAGCGAAGTGGACCTGAACTTTGAATCTTGGCGCAGATAACCTATCAGCGCGGGTCTATTACTATTATTATATGATAATTGCGCGTAGACCTCCCCAGGATACTCTCCCTTCCAACATACCGATAAAGCGCACATCCATGGAATCGTCACTATGTCCATTCAGCTGTGTCATGCACAACGCCAGACGACCAAATATATAAGAGGAAAGAGAAAAAAAAAATGTGTGCAACGAAGCGAATCTCGTAGACCATGAATACCGATGCGACCCCCATGCAAAACGCTTCATTTAGAAGCAGACCCAAGTGAACCGCCATATGAAAACGGTGAAATATGAGTTGTTGACCCAAGTAGCTCAAGAGCAAAGAAAAAGAGAAAGCAGTGCAAACTCCGTCAAGACTGCATTGGAAAAAGTCCTACCTTTGGAGCGGATAGGAGTGGCAGAGCGCAAATTCTACCGGCGGCTGGAGGACTTCTCGTTGAGGGGCTCTCCGTTCACCAGAACTTGCGGAGCCTGGTTCTCCTTACCGACGTTTCGGGCAGTAATGGTGGGCACCTGAGCTCCAGTCGCCAGAGTAGCACGACTGTTTTGCTCCTGTTCTGGTTCTTCCTCTTCCTCTGTGTCCTCGTCATCACTGCGCTCATCCTTTGTAATGCTGTTGAAGACGTAGTTCTTGAGGATGCGAAGGATCAAAAAGAGCCAGAAAAGGTTGACGGCCTGCAAGCTCGCCAGCAAGGCAAAGGTGATATATTGACTGATCCAACACTTGTATTGCTGGGTCTCCCAGTTCAGCTCGAAAGGACCAACGGTTCGGAATTCGGTAAGAACCGCCCAGAGAATCTTCAGGTTCAGGTAGTGGCGGCAGTAGATCCACATGCCAACGAACATACCGAAGTACGGCGGAGTAATGAACGAGTCAAGGTAGTTGAGTGTTTTCGAAGTCTAGTGGAATTAGTATCTATCACCGGACGGAGTTCAAGGTGCATGCATACCGCAAGGAAGAAGTCAGAGACATCGTGTGTGATGTAGACCGCAAGGCCCATGTAGGTGAAGTGGAACCGATAGCTCAGGGCGATGAGAGCCAAGGTAATGATATGATGCCCGACAAGTTCTTTGAAGTCCTTCCGGGGTTTCTCTAGCTGGAGTAAGAGCACGATGGCTTGTTGGGCCCAATAGCTCGCCTGCAACAAATAATAGGCCTTGAATAGCGCCTCATGCTCACGGTGCGGGAAACCCTCATACATCGCCCTTGTGTTGAAATACCAAATGTCCGACCTGTACATCACGTACAAACCGAATGGGCCGAAAATGCCGAAGTAGATCGCAGTGTACACCTGCTCCATGAAGCGCGCAGTCTTGCCTTTGCCGCGAATTCCGCAGTAAGTCGCCCACGGCCGGATGATACGCTGCATGATGAATTCCCGAGTGAAAGATAAAACGATAGTATAAAACGAAACAAAGGCTATGTCCTTGGGGCCTTTTCCATACATGACCGGGCCATCAAGGGTTTTCGGCCCTTGAGGGTAGGACAAAAAGATTGCGCTATGCAGAGGGTTGGACGGGTTGGGGTTCACTGCATATAGGGCGAGCAGAACAATCAATATAAGGAGAGGTAGGAGCCATGTATGTTTCAAGCATTTGTCTTTAAAACGACGGAGTAGGGATCTGCTTTTGCGACGTTTCGATTGCGATTTGAGCGACTTCTCCGAAGACTGCGATACCTCAGGCTGGAGTGAGCATAGGGTCGGAGAGGCACTTGAGTGAGGGCAGTTGCGAGCCGCGCAATTGATTTAGACCATACCTTATCCCACTTTGGAGCATCCGTTTCAGTTGGACTCACTTCATTCATGGTCGACATTGCTGGTGCGCTGGTGTCACCTGGTATGTCCGCACCCAAGTTACTCGAACTCCGGCCGCGAGCCATTATCAGATGAAATGACGTTGAGTATTAATCCAATTTGGAAGTCGTCCTATGGGTGCCTCCCTTGACGCTCTCCTAGAGCGTATCTCGATCAGCGTTGGCGTTCGTGAGAGTGATTTTTCTAAGATTCCAACGCGGGATCCTCCGCCGTATCGGAGCGGAATCGAAGATAAGGGAAAAACAGAGTAGAATTGAAGAAGAGGACAAAGTCAGAGGAGAGAACAACAGGAAAGCACAGAAGAGATTGCACCGGCGAAAGATGAAAAGCCGTGACCCTCCTAGGTAAGAAATTGAGAACTGATGGGGTACGAGTACGAGACACCTAATTCGTTTGAATTGTCAAGAGCGCAAATTAAACCCAATCCAGGGGCGCTGTTTTTTTTCTTCTATTTTTCTCCGCCCCGAGGTTCCACCATCAGTCAACACAGCCATTCGGCGATTGACGGAGTCCCGCCCACAAGTGGGATTGTATCTTCAACTTACTCCGTATCGCAACCCTTTGTTGCTTACTCGTTCTTAGACATTATTCGGTGCACAATCAGGTCCTGCTGAAGGTCAGGTTGTGCTTTATGCAACAGTGATAGACCGCCGTCCTCTACGAATCTCACCGTCGTCGTCTTGAATGGCGTATTCCGACGCCAAGACTCCTGGAAGTCGGCCAGGCCCACATGGGATCAGCGGTATTCGATTTGAGGCGAATTTGGACCGAGGATGAAGCATTTACCGGACAAGGTGGAAATCTTGGCTACCCATACTCAACTGTCATTTCGAACCAAAACCATCCACCCTTCTGCGACCTGGGAGGCTTGAGAACTGTCGGATTGCCTTCTAGAATAATGTTTGAAACGTTCTAAACACGTCTGCTGGTCAAAATCGAAACATTGGTATATATTAACATTATACTGTGAATGATATTCCAAATGGCGGCAGCTTTGCGCAAAAACCAGAATGCCCCCGTAACTGGGCCAGTATGTGTGGCAGATACGCCCTGAGAAATCCGACAAACAAGAACGCATGCGCGCAGATGATCTGTTACAGACGCCGAACCCGAGTTCAACTAGGGTCCATTGATATACATGACTCCAGGATTGACCACGATGACGACTAAGACTATCACCCGGGCACGTTCCACACTGCTCCATTCTCACAATGAGAATAGTAAAGCTCGAAGCAGAGAACCCTATCATAGTAGATGACGCTGACTGGGCCCCATAGTATGCGTCAATCTACCCATAAGCCCGGCGTAGCATCGGCGATTGTCTAGTTTTATGTGCCTTTCATAGTCAAGTTGACTCAAGGTACAATAGATACACGTTCGCAAGGAGATGCATCATGGCATCGGTTGGATCCCCTCCGAGCATTGATGGTCATACCTTTGACTTAGAAGTGGTTGCTAACCCTGAGAGATCCTCACATACGAATGATTATAGTGAAGCGTTCTCAATATCGCACTGCAGAAACTAGGTTCGGCATATTCATTGCTCCTCTATTGAACAGAATTGTTGCATGGCGGTCATTGGGTAATGCCAATTGAACTTGGAACCTTCTGCATCTGAGATCCGAAAACGCTTATCCTCTATCGCCTATTTCACTAGGTACAGACTAGGATGTCCCTTGCGTCGTCAGACTCAGGACCTGGCTCAGTCCAAGTGACATATACTGCCCCAAAGGAGCAGGAAATGACATGATCCACCTATGGATAGAGCACTAAACGGACCAGGATATGAATATGAAAAGGTGTACTTTTTAGGAAGGAGACTACTTACACTCGCGCCTAACCGCTCCGATTGACCCCAGTTCTGGCAAAGTGGCGCGGACCCAATATGCCCCCACTTTATCTGGTAGCGACGATGTTACTATCTCTATTGGAGCCAATGTGTGCCATGTTACGTTCTTACCAGCTCCATGCAAGGCCGTACCACTAGTGTTGAAGTGGCTGTCGATAGGGTTCCGCTGTGACAGTTCAGACATCGAACGAAGTCATTCTTGCCGTTGGAGTACTTCATACAACTAAGCTGCTGACAATTTCTGGGCTTGGAGGCAGACGACAACTCAACGGCTTCGGGAACTTCATGATTGTTAAGAACGCTAATGCTGAAGAATGTCTTTAGATTCGCCATATGAGTGTTCTGGGTGTCCTGTTGAACACCGCAGAAGGTCAAAAATGTGGCTTGTGGAATCTCCAGGCTCTCTTTTACACGCCGCACAAGCCACGTTCGCAAAGCCTACCATGGATCCTGAGTTCTTCATTAACGAATAAGATATCAAACTGATAGCACTGTAGGTTCAGCCTGGCGTTGCTTACATCACGAAGAAATCAAACTGTGCTAGTAACCATGCGCCTTGATGGAGGCCTATGTAGATGTCCCATTCAAGGTGGGGATATGATTCGTAGTAACTTCATGTTAACCTATGCGCCTCTAAAGCATCTTAACCGCATATTTGATTATTCCACGGAGGGGAAAGAGACGGTGACGACCAGTCTAGGCAGTAGAGGCACCCTAGCCTCTGTTCAAGAGAAGAGCATGATAAAGTCCGCGAAGAACTCCGGGGAAAGTCCGTTTCTGTGATTTCTCGCACTGGATGCTCTGTTATAATGGCTTTCGCACTGTTGCTGCATCAAGAAAACCTCAAAGAAGTGCTTGAGGCGGGCCTTCTCCAGCTAGGAGGGTTTGCAGCACTTTTAGGGATTTTTCTGCATACAACCATCTTTCGCACGTCCTTTTGTGTGGAAAATCATATCTATAATCTATTGGGGCTCTACGCCGCGACCGTCCTATCTTTATTCTATACATACTTTACAATCACGGTGCTTCCTCCAATCCAAGTTCTAGGAAGAGTTACCTTGCTCATCACTTCTTTCAACATCAGCCTCGTTGGTAGTATCAGCATATACCGATTGTTCCTCCACCGACTTCATCCTTTCCCCGGGCCCTTCGCGTGCAAGCTCACCCGGTTATATAGCGCCTTCCTAGCAGCAAAGCATATCCAATACAATGTGGAGCTGAAAAGGCTCCATGAGCAGTACGGCGACTTCGTCCGCACAGGCAAGCCACCTTAACTAAACCTCCAGCAATCCTACTCTAAGCAAGAACCATGACAGGGCCCCGTGAGATCTCCATTCTCCGAACTGCAGCACCACCCCTAATATATGGTCCCCATACTGAATGTCGCAAGTCAACCTGGTACGGGCAGTTGGACGTAGATCACACGAAAATATGCATGGCGTTAAGCCGCGACTTCGACGACCATCGGCGACGAAGAAGGGCCTGGGACCGAGCTTTCAGTATCAAATGTCGGTCAATCCTACCCTTGCGGACAGTAAATACCTCACTACTAATGAGCGCGTAAAAGCCCTCAGCGTCTACGAACCCCGTGTCATAGCGCAGGCGGAGAAGCTCATATCGCAGATTGAAGCCAATCAAGGAAAACCACTCGATGCAACCACCTGGTCCATGCTTTTCGCCTTCGATATTATGGGAGACGTCGGATTCGGTAGGGACTTTGGCAATCTTGTCACAGGGAATGCGCACCCTGTTATCAGTGCTATGCATGACCATATGCGCTTCATTGGTGTCGTGAGCCACCTTCCGTGGCTTTTGAATATGCTGGGTAAGATTCCCGGCGCGGCGGCTGGATATCAGGGCCTCTTTAAGTGGTGCGCTGATCAGATTGAGACCAAGCGCAAGGTAGCAAGTTCTTCTTACTCTTCTGGTTTAGCTGTAGGTGGTGCACGAGACTGACATATACCCTATGTAATGCGACAGAGCTGGGACCACGAGAAATACCCCCAAGACATTATGTCCTGGGTCTTGAAAGCTTTCATAGACAACGATGTTTCGGCCCCACCGTCCGAACCAGCTCTTCATGATGACTCGCGTGTGGTGGTGATAGCGGGCAGGTACGTACTTGCTCCTGTTCTTCTCCTTCTAACGGGGGAAAAAAAAGAAGAAATACAAGGAGAGCTCCCCAAACCTACCATATCTAACTGAACAAAATCAGCGACACAACCGCCTCAGCCCTAGCAAACATCATCTACTTCCTCGCCAAACACCCCCCAGTCCTCCAAAAGCTCCAAACCCGACTCGACAGCGCAATTCCGAACGGCCCCCAAAGCTGGACGTACGACAAAATCAAACCTATAACCTACATCGACGACATAATCCACGAAAGCCTCCGTTTGCGACCCCCTGTCTCAAGCAGTGGATACCGTGTAACACCTGCCAAGGGCCTCCAGATCGACGAAGTCTCCATCCCAGGCGACGTGAACGTCTTCGTCCCACCGCAGCTAATCCAAACAGACGAGCGATACTACAAATCCTCCAAGGAGTTTATCCAAGAGAGATGGGGCGAAAAAAAGGTCGAGTGGGGGACTGGCAAGGCGCCATATTTCCCGTTTTCTTTGGGTGAGACTTTCCTGCCTCCCCCCCTGCGTGGTCATTAATCTCTTATACGAAAATGGAGCATAATATTCTAGGTGTAGATATGGATTATTGACACCAGAATTGATACAGGGGTATACGGCTGTGTAGGGAAGAACCTAGCTATGCTTAGTCTCCGCGTTGCGTTATCTACCCTGGCACAACGGTACGATATCCGGTTTGCGCCAGGGGAGACCGGGGAGGCATTTTGGAACGATGCGTTGGATACGTTTACCACTTTTTTGCCGCCTTTGCATGTCGTGTTTCAGCCAAGGAAAGCGTAGATACGAAATGAGTCTTGGTACTATGGCGTCCTTTGAGTTCCTTTCTCCATTCTTGTGATATTCCTGCTATGGGTATGTGTATTCAGCCACGAAGAATGAGGTTTCAGCCATATGTCTCAAGTCCCTAGTTCTTTCCTATCATTCTTCCCTCCCCCCTCCCTTAGTATCTCCTCGTGTCTCGGATCACCCAGTAAAAATAAAATAAAATAAAATAAAAAGCAGTCTTCAGCACAGACCATCTTGGCTTGCGGGAATGCACACTCCGATACGTCCGGATGAAGCTTTCTCCAATGCAGCCAAGAAACTGACTTATTGGCACTGAGGAGAAAGGGAAGCCCCGAATCGGTCGAGTCGGCTTCCCGAAGTGCGACGGTATCGGTCTGCGATTGTTGATCTGTGGCGGGTTTTTATTCGGACTTGCTGGAATGATCTGTATCACATAGTGGTGTGTTGTATGGATAGATTCGGGGTTATCGGTTTGGGGGGTTCGTATATGTGGCTGTATCGGGGAATGTTTGGATTCGTATCGGGATCTTAGTGGATAGTTGGTTATTTATGAAGGAAAGATTTACTTTATGGTAATGATGTTGTGGTTTGTTGTATAAATTCTAACATGCTATACGTGATCGAGCAGATTAATATAAAAGCACGAGTGAATTAGAAGCTATCCCATAGAAGCACTAGGTATCAAGATATCATCGTTCTCTCGTAAACATGAACTAATTAAGTCACACACTTGTTCATAACAAACCCACACGAAAGGAGAGGCTTGCTAGGCTGGTATATAGGCGAGTAATTAAATAATTTTCTTTCAGAATCCAACCCCATACGTCGACTATGGGAGTCCGCCAGTATCCAATTATGCGGACTCGGAATGCTGGACGGTGCCTCCGACCTTCTTCTCCTCGTCGAAGCCAACCTGCTCCAGGGTGGCGCCGCGCGAGAATTCGTTCTTGGTCTTCCAGGCGGGAATACCAATGAGCGGAATACCGGTGGGGTCGGTGAAGATGGCCTCGACGTCTTCGAGGGTCTTACCGGCGGTCTCGGGGAACATGAAGAACACATGGATGAACATGGCAGTACAGAAAACACCGAAGACGATGTAGACCTGCCACTTGATGTTCTCGAAGGCAGGGGGGACGAACCAACCCAGAGCGAAGTTGAAGGCCCAGTTAAACGAGGTGCACAGAGCGTTGGCCTTGCCACGGACACGCAAGGGGAAGAGCTCGGGAGGGTACACCCACGAGGCGGGACCCCAGGTGATGGCGTAGGAGGCGACGAACAGATAGGTGCACGCAATGACAGCCTTGCTAGGAGGTCCGGTGATCTCCCAGGACTCTGCGGGCGTTCCATTGAGACCGCCCGGGGGAGCGGCATGACCGTGTGAGGCCATCAGACCAGCATTGGCGTACATCCAGGTCGCCATGAGGGCTGCACCTATAAGGAAAGTGGGACGGCGACCCCAGCGGTCCAGCCACAAGATAGCAGGGATGGTCATAAACACGTTGATCACGTATTGAATACTAGAAGACACCAGAAGATTGTTGCCCTGCAAACCGGCCATCGCAAAGACATACGTAATGTAGTACATCATCACGTTCATGCCCGTAAGCTGGGACCAGATTTGGGTAAAGACACCGACGTGAGTACGGTTGATCATGTTCGGCTTGAGGAGCTCCATGAAGCTCACGTCGGCATTCTGACGTTCAAATTCACACATGCCCTTAATCTCCTCGAATTCGCTCTGCACAAAAGGAGAGTCAGGGTCACCGTGGCCATGGACCAAGGTAAGGACGGCATGGCACTCCTCCCAACGGTCCTTACGGGCCAACCAACGGGGAGACTCAGGGAGCAGCATCATTCCAAGGAAAAGAAGGATGGCAGGAATCATCTGCAGACCCCAGGGAATCCGGAAGGCGGCAGTGCCCTTGATAAAGCTACATCCATAAGAAATGCTAAACAGGGACCAATTGTTAGTCTGGGGACAATGGTGGAAAGCTCCGAGACTAGACTTACTAGAACATAATTAGGATACCCCACGTGATGGCCCATTGCTGAAGACCAACAAGACGACCACGCTTAGTAGGAGGGGCCTAAATGAGGGATCAGCAAATTGCTAGGAGTCAAAAGGTCAAGGCCATAGTAGATACTTACGATCTCAGAGATATAGACGGGGACCTGAGCGGAGCAGATACCGACGCTGAAACCGTTGATGATACGACCAACAATCAACATGGGGATGTTCTGGGAGGCGCAAACAAGAATACATCCAATGCACCTGGTCAACAGTTAGAGAAGTCCCAAAAGGGGCGGAAGTTTCCATTAGGCCTACCAAATCACGGAACCAATCATGATCGATTGCTTACGACCGAGCATATCAGACAGGTACCCAGAGCACAGAGCACCTAACCACGATCCACCAGCCATGGCTGCAGTAATACCACCCTGGGTCATTGTATCGGGGCCTCCACATTCCTTTTCACCGTTCTCATTGATTGTCACACTTCCTCCATTGTTGAAATAACACTTATAGGTGTTTGTGCCGATAATCGCAGACATTGACGAGATATCGAAACCGAAAAGACCACCGCCGATGACGGCGATGGCCGCAATGACATAAATGTTGCCAATAGCCATCTTGAAGGCAAGATGGAGCTCACCACTCCACTCTAAGCAAGATGGGGTAGACGGCTACCTGATGAAGACAGAAGCCACAGAAGAGGGAGTTGCGAAAACTGTGTAAATACAAAAAAAAGTTTTACATCACTGGAGGGGACGGGCCGGTCTTAATATACCCGAGGACAGGGGACGGAAATTTTGCCTTTCGATGTCGCATCGAATGACAGCCAATTCCGTCTAAATTTTTGATGACGCTTGAACCTGTACCGACCCGAAGTGCCATAATGGGGAAAAGGGCTGCACGCCATGCGACTGGCGAGATTAGTCTCAGCTAGCGAGATTCACTGGATTCCAATCGGTGAGACAACCAGGAAACCATATCCAATCATGGATCAGACACATCATATAGACGGCCCACCGGAGTAGCTGTCCTGTCAACAATGACATAAAGTAGCAGCCTTTCGGCTGTCCGAGTCCAAAACGGACGGGTTCCTCATTCAGTAAGAATGGGGAAACCCGCGGGGAGGCAACACATGGTCTGGAGATTTCGGGTCAGTGAGGGGATCAGGCCAGCGCAACCAATCCCATGATCAGGTATCCATGCAATCATTTCGCTGGGAGGATTCATTGGGAGACTGGGAAATGGAGGACCACATCTCGGGTCCACCGGCTGCGACCCTAGGCCAAGGTTGACCGTTTGAGAAGTAATCAAGGACGGAAGGGTCGTGGTCAGCATAATGCATAACTCCGGTGGATAGTGTGAGGCCGGGCTGTTGGACGAACCAGAGGCGCGACGTGGAGGGATCCGGGGAAGCCTGACCACGCGGGTTCAGACTAGTGTTCCTAAGCCGATGGGGCCGTGAAAGGAAGAGACACCGAAAGTGACCTATTGCGCCGGAGGGCAAGCACGGCGCGAGTCGTCCCCTCGAGCAAATTGCCTTCGAACAGAGCCGATTGCAGACGGATCGGCACACATCGCTTCCTTTCCCGGCCGGGGGGTTTCCCAGAGACGGAGTTCCCGTCACCGCGCTTGTTAAGTGAGGAGTGAAAAAGCAACAGAAAAAGGTCCGAGGGTTGAATAATTGAATTAAAAAAATAAAAAATAATTCATAAAAGGAAAAAGAAAAAGCAATATTGTGTGTAGAGTTGGGTCAATCATTCGAAGAGAGTGCCGATCGCTGACATCCATCACTTTACAAAACGAGCCTAAACTGGCACGGGAACCCCTCCTCAACCGTCTCGGAACATGCCATTCAGAGCGAAATGAAAAACCGGAAATCGCGTAGCGGGTTCCATGGACCCGAATGGATTCAGAAAGAGTGAACTTTAGTGGTGGTGGTGGTGAGCGTTGTTGAGGTTCAGTGGATGGTCGAATGTGGAGGAATAGGAGGGCCCCAAACCCCCGACCAATTCCCCAGAACAAACAAAACAACTCCAGCCTAGAATCTTAGGCCCCCATTCGAACCGATTGTTTAACCCAAGCGAGTAAGTTGAGGTGGAGACGGCCAAGCTGAAAGGGGGCGGAATTAAGGTGAACAAATAAAAAGGTCCCGTTTCTTTGTTCCCCAGTCCCAAGAGGGCGTTCCTGATTGGAGGAACTGAGAGCATGTGCCTCGGCCAACGTGCCATTTCCAGAATCGGAAATTCCACCAATTAGGGCAGCGGCACAACATGAGTCGTGTCCTGGAACAG